TACATTAAATTGTCAGGCAGAAGAAAAGCATCATACCTTGAGTGAATGATGAAGTAATTTACATGAAAAATACTGTAAAAAGGTTTGGGAGTAAAGAGATGTAGTCGGAAGTTGGCTTCCGATATCTCGTCCCAGAGTCTCGAGCCCTTAAGTCCAATTATCTCAATGCAGAGATCTTGTCTCAGAGTTAGTTTGGTCTGTCGTCTTGCAGCTGCTGCAGATCTTCCATTCTTCCCAAAACTGCCTTTTTTCCCCCTCTTTCAATTTCCTCTCTTGTCTACAATGGTTAAAACACATCCTTGAGGCAACTGTTTGTATGTGAATGAGTGAGAGTGTGTGTGTGCGAGAGACGGCTCTATGGAAACAAGGTCAGTTCAGACAGATGTCTCATCAACTTCAACTTGTTCTCTCAGAGTATTGCAAACTCATTTGCCCTCATCAAATTATCCACTGTTCATGTCATGTTTCATTTCCTGACTGTTACATTCGAGATGCCTCGAACTGGACCCTGCAGCTGCTCGGCACTCCACAGTTTTTGTCATTGAGTGTTTTTAAAGAGGAAAGATCTTGAATCATGATTCGACCTGCAACTAACGGTCATTTTATCATAGTTTAAGATGTTTTTAAAGAGTAAAAAATATCTTTTGGCTATTTCCTAAAGCTCTGTTCAGCAGTATTTGGTCCATTTTAGCAGGGGAAAGAAACCCATACATATTAAGTTTATAGTCATGGACAAGTGATAAATCCTCTTTTAAGGATCAGCATTTTATGTTCCGCAGTTTAATAGGTTTAAAATGACACTTCCAGACATTTATTGAAAATAAACCCAAGCTTCACATCCTTTTGATTACTGGATATAAATGATTAAAGCATAATAAGTGATTCGTTTTAGTGTCTAAATACAGTATTCATTCCACACAGTTGTGAACAATTCAACTGATACATTTGTTTAGTACCTGAGGCACTGGTCTCAAAGTATACGAAACTGAACATGCTTACATATGAACTTACTTCTTCACACACCCAAATAACCCAGAACATAAGGAAATAATAAAAACAAAAAAACTACATCTTATGCAAAAGGTACAGTCTGATGGTAAGGTCGTTGGATGTTGCTAGGATAGTAGTCTGTAGGATAACTTTGAAGTGAAGTTCAGTGAGCTCCTGTCCTGAAGAGCACCACAGATGTGATGTTTGGGAGGAACTATGGTACTGCATGGGGAAGTCAAATAAACAAACTGGTACCCAAAAAGTTGATTCTGTGTACCTGGACGCAGCGCTTTCAGTGGGAGAAACATGTCCACCCCAAGGATCTGCTCTGCCAGCACAGACAGAGTAAAATAGAGTGCCAGAAGGATTACCATGATTTATACGTTGGGGGAAGCAAACAACCTCTGGCTAAGCAGATGGCACAACATAGAAGAGCTAACTTTTCATGCCAGGATGAGGATGTACACATCTTGGGCAGGGAGGAACACTGGTTTGATTGGGAAGTCAAGGGGGACATTTCTTTCAGTGTCATGATTGCAGCAATTCCCCAACTCTCTGTGAATGGTACTCAGCCATTGATCCAATGGTCATGACAATTTGCATTAATAACCAAGAAACTGAAGTCATGGCCCATTGTTCGTCAGTGGTGCTAGTGCCAGCCCTTGTGCAAATGCACTGTTTATAAAGTTGGGGAAAGTCAGCTGAGACTGAAGAAGACTGAAAACGCTACGTCTAGATGAACAAAATCAACTTTTGGGGATTTTCTTACCTAAGTGATTGAGCATGCATGAAGATGTAACAAACCGGTATGCTATGTGGCTAGCTAGCATCACCCAACATGCTGTTCTGCAGTAGAATTTTGTAAACGTACAAAACGTAGTAATTGTTGTAGAGCTTGTATTTAAAAAAAAAAAATAAAAAATAGAAAGAAATGTTATTGTAATTAACCCCATTGAAGAGAGTTTTGGTTTTGGTTATTGA